AAAAAGCATGCATTTAACAATGACAGATATTTTACGGTGCTTAGTTTGCTGAAAGCGCTCCACTGTAAATACTAGGACATCTAAGGCAATGACAATGCACAGGACGGCAAAGGAAAACTGTCACTGAAGGTACAAATATTTGTAATGTGAAAAGGGAAGGGTTGGAATGAGAGCCCTCAGACTGGGTGTTGCATCGTAGCGACCTATAAAAAAAACATATCATTACCTTTTGTGGAAATGCAAAGTGTTCCCATGACGACCCTGTAATGTTTTTTGTGTGAAAAACGGTGTATGAAACTGTAACGTTGACATTGTTGTTTTTGGTTTTCATAACTTTCAGTTGAACATCCGATATTCAGTCTCTGAACTAATCACGTTGGGCAAGAAGGACAAAAACACCTTTATTCCTCTAAGTACGCCTGTAGTTGCCAAATACGTATGTAAGAGCAGGAACTGTCAAATACTGCCGCTGTTGAAAATATTTATCACGCGGTTTCAGAGGTTAGGACAAGGTTTAAGATGTTTAATTCCTTGTTCAGCCTTTTGATTCCGTCCAAATCACAAAAATAAATCTTATTTAAGCTCCGATTTCAGGTATATACATCTAAAAGTAGTTTTAAGATTAAATATGAACTATGTAGGTCTAGACTGGTTGTAGAAAAATTCTACAGTAGTTAAGTGAGATCCCATAAAACAGAGTTAAGACTATTTATTCATTCAGCACAGTAGATCTGGTCATTAATACACATATATGCTTTACACTATAATTATCTAGTTTGGCAAGTCTAAAGGTTAGACTACCATAACAAAATGACAATATTCCTTGCGATATCAATGGACCAAACCAAGCACACTGACAAGCTTTCATCTATCTCAGCTGCATAGTAACATATACAGTAATAACATGTTTTATGACAGTAGTTATGGATTTGTTTTAGTTTTCCTTATGGTTTGTTTCCCTGCATTGTCCTATCCTCAGCGCCCTGATGTCGTTGTTGACATTTGTTCCATACTACTGCAAGTTCATCCGATCCTGCTGATAGGTTTAAGGCATCATTTTTTTTGTATATCCGTAGTGTCTTGGACTGTAATTTATTCTGTTTTATTGTGTACAAAACTATTTTCAGTCGAACTTAAACCCAAAGGAGTTTTCTTTTTTTCTCGTCTTCTTTCTTGCTTTTATTTTACACTGACTGAAAATATCTGTTGTATGTTGCCTTTGATTCCAATTTTATTGCTGGAATATTTGTTTATTGTTTCAGCGTGACAATGAGTGTACTAGAAGTGTGTTTGTGAAAGCCACACAAACCAGAATGGTACTGACAGGAAGTATGTGGGTGAATTCTTTGTTTGTTTATGTTGTTTGTCTTCTTTCTTTTTCTTATCATTATCATGTCTTTTGTTCTCATAGAGAGGTGTGGAATGTGCAATACCGCATACTGCAATCTATGCAGGCCAAGAATTGTGGCACTTTAATTTTCTGTCTATGGGATTTGTAAGTGTACAGGCAGAAATTACTTGTATTTTTCAAATGTTATATCTTTAATATGAGGCAAAACAGTATTACAACTACCATAATCTCACAAACAATGCAAATGAGAATTTGACTTTTACTTTTTCATATTATATGGCTGGCATATGCTGTCAAACACCTTAATGCCAGATATTAATGGACCTCAAATTGGATTATCTGTGGGAATAGGGATCCAAATTGACCACTTTTAGCCTTTTATATTGCTGTTAGATTGACATAAAAATCTAACATATGTCTTTGGAAGATATTAAGATAATCTCATTTCAATGGCCACACACAAAGGATTTTATGTTTTTGTGTATTACCGCTGAGAATGATTCTATTTTTTCTAAACCAAAATGGAGCACGACCACAATTTCCTGCCATATGGTGGTTGAAATGATGCGTGCCTTTTCATAACACTGCTGTTTATGAGAAGGTAGCAAGTCATTTTGCTTTGTTCATATAGCACTGTACAGAAAATTCTAATTTTATAGGAGAAATCAGGTCTTTATGTAATAGATACAAGTAATGTTATTGAGTTCTCAGGTTTTCTATAACTCTCTGATGTTCCGATTGGATAGATTCTCTGTTTTTTCTTTAACGGCTAATGTCAAATTAGTTACTTCTGTGCTTTTTTGAAAGGTGATGTTGTCAAATCCACATTGATGTCTTGGCTCCTGGAGTAAGGAGTGGCAATATTTCACCCTCCTCCTGGGTAATCTGTGTACCACATTCAGTGTTCGCCCCCATCAGTCTTCAGTGAGGCAAGGAAGGAGCACAAACAAAAGTACAGGAGTCTGACTGTTAGAGTTTAAGTGCTGAGACATAGGCCGACGGGGAGTGATGTGTCTAACTGACCACAGACAGGCAGGAAGAGATCCCTAGAGTGATTGAACTGATACATCTGATTATTTCCCATGCTACCACCATTGAGTGCACCGATCCCTACAGCTTCAGAGGCTCTAGCCCCATGGCATGCCCTCGGGGACAGTGAAGGAAGGCTGGGATAAGGGAAAAGCTGGAGAGTTAAGAGGAGAGGTGAAATGGAGTTCCCCCAAATGGTAACATCACATCAGTGATCAGTTGTGGTCCATACTGTTTTCTTTTGTCTGTCTACATACTGTATGCCCAGACCATCAGTAATCAGAGATTCACGTGAGAGCATTATGGAATTAACTTCCATGTGAAATTATTGATCCCTCATTGGAAACTAAGATTCTTTGGTACCCTCCGAAGTAAAATGCGGGGTCATGGTGGTTGTTGTTTGGGGTTTTCATTTGTCTTTTTTTTTTTCTCTATGAAGGACAGTTAGACGATAACCTCCTTCTTAAAGCTTTCTTTTTTTCTCTACCTGTACATTTAATTTATCGTTTTTTCCTTCATCCCTTGTTGGTAGTAACCATGTCTCTGTGGTAGCCTCGAGTAATCCTTCATTTTGATAGGCAGGGAAGAGAGACAAGGGATCTGGATTGCTCAGCTATATTCCCTTGGAATGATGTTTGTGTGGATACTGAAATGAGTTCTGTGAGCTGACAGCGAATGTGCTCTGTCCTACTGTCTCACAATGGGATTATCATCTGTGATACTGTACAGAGTGGAAAGGTTGTGTCTTTATTTTCTCTGAGAGAATGGGTATTGTCCATGTCACTCATGCGTGCTTACCAAACTTTGCTCCCTAAAATACGTAAAGCATCGTTTCTTCTTATTTCTCTGTGTATTCTGCCTCTTACATTCTTTTTGTTTTTGTTTTTAATTTGTTTTTCTGTTCAGCGTTGGAGAACATTATTGTTAGAAACCTTCTGAGCTACAGATTTCTGTACAAAGCATCATCTTTGTATGCATGTAGTAGTCCGAACAATTATGTGACCACAGAACACTTTGTTATGGTACATGTACGTCAACATTTCTGTAGAGCATTGTTCCCCATTACGTCTATTAGCATATGCAGAATAACAAATAAATGTGTATATAACTCGTGTTTGTGTGCCTGGTTGTTCTCTACTCTACAAATGAGCTGTTGTTTGCACATATGCCTTTTCTGGATGCATTTTTTTTGCATATTAAGGATCATTACATAACACTATACATATCTATGTGTTTAGAAATACATAGAACTAATTAAAAAAGGTATTGCATGTGCAGCAAGAAGATATGCAAAGTTGTTTTTCACATCCAAAAGCGCAGACAAATCTGGCATGACTGGCAAATAAATGATTTATCACTGGAGGGAAATTTATTCCATTCCATTAGATGCAATTAATAGATCTCCACATCTTAGTTGTGTACTGCAGTCAAACAGTGATACTGAACATAAACTGGGCCCTGAAACCTCAGAACTAGAAGCTCGGGAATGTAATGCATTTAAAATGAAAAACTTAAAATGACCCATATGACCCATAAACTCTAAAAGGAAGTAAAGAGGTGAATAATGCATCATGCTATTGTGTTGGCCTATTATTACTGTTTTTATTGTATCACATGGGGCTAGAATTACAGTGTTATATCAATTGTGTCACAGATGATTTTAATCATAGTATCCATTACATAACAAGGTTCAATACATAATAGTTGGGTGAGGATGTTTCTTTTGTATTAATGTCCAAACCTAAGAAAAATCTGCACCTTAAAAAGATTACAGTCCGAAGTGCATGTCTGAAACTTCATGACTTTTCTCTCCTTTTTGTGTGTGTATTTCTAATATTTTTAAGCCTACACATCAGAGACAATATTAATTTGGTCAATAAATTCAGTAAAAAAAACATAAACAAGCTTTATTCTGTGGCAGTATTGTCAAGCCATACAAGGTGTTGTTTGGGTTGCATTTTGGCAAATGGCATAGTATAGTAAACAAGTTCATCTCATTTTATGGATTGGCTGCCTGAAGAGACTCATTTTCACTTTGATGCAATCCAATACAATGACACAACTTGATATAAATGTCAAAATATCAATATTAACATAGAGTTGAAATAATAGATTAAATGAATACTACCTATACATGTTTGTTTGTTTTGTGGTTACTGATATATTATGATCCATCCATTGTCAACCTTATCCTGCCTACAGGTGCAGGGAGGCTGGAGCCAATCCCAGCTGGCATTGGGCGAAAGGCGGGGTACACCCTGGACAGGCTGCCATCGCAGGGCCGCACATAGACAGACAACCACTCACACCCACATCCACACCTAAGGACAATTTAGGCTCACCAAGCCAACCTAGCAACCTAACCTAGCCTCCACGCGGACACGGGGAGAACATGCAAACTCCTCACAGAAAGGCCGGGTTTGAACCCACGACATTCTTGCTGTGAGGCGACAGTGCTAACCACTGCACCATATATTAATTAGTTTGAATTAATTTTTAATTAATTAATTTGTATTTACTCCTCCTCAACGCCAGAGGTCGCTGCGGGCTGCTGAGTGACACCAAACAAAGACAAAACACGGAAAAGCGCGGAAATCAAACAGTTTCCAAAGAAGAAGAAGAAATGAAGTTACTTCAAGAAGAACAGCAAAACTGCGAATTTAAGCATGGATTCTGAAAGTAACAACAAAAGCGTGACAGACGCAAGTTCAACAGATGAAAGTGTCAGTTTTTCCCATGTCACCGCTGTGGCCACTGGATGGATGTTGGACTTTATGTTTGTAAGTTTGTGTCGGCATTTCCAGGAAGGCAAACATGATGAATTCAATGAAACGCTTTCGACGTTAGAGGGTAAGTTTATTCACAGCTAACAAATCATTAGGATTGTTTAACGGTAACGTCAGTTAACGTTATATTATACTGGCAGCATATCTGCTGAGTCCGGAGAAATCGAAGGTAAAAACTAAATCGAATTAACGTTAATAAGTTGTGTAAACATCTGCGCAAAACAGCAGCCGCATCGTAAAATATAGCTAGCATAACAAGTTAATGTAAGTTGTGACGTTAATTGAAAACACAGTGTGGTGCTTAACAACAAAATCCCGGAGTAATGTTACCGTTAATAAGCAAAGTTCGAAGCCGAAGTAAGTAAGTTAGTGTTTTTAAGATTGCCGTGAACTTTCTGAGGTTATTTTGCACTAACATAAGCAGCACCTGCGAATAAACAAAGACTGCTGAAATAAGGCTCAATGTAGAAATAAACTTGCCCGAGAAGGGCGGTGTTGAGTGGGCAGGGAAAAATAACATTGCTACTACAACATAACGCCATTAATATCATGGGATAAATTCAGTAATTGTAGGACTCCTGTTACTGACCTCCGTGCTGTGGGTAGAGCTCTCTCAAACTGACACGAGTAGCTACAATAAGCACCTACAGTCACGTCTGGCTTCCTACCGCTAACATAACTCTATGAATAACTATCAATAATGAACAAATTATCACGTTTTACCCCTCGTGTTTATTGAAACCAGTAATGAGGAAGAAAAACCGACGTTATTACAGAAACTCTATCTCAGTAAAGATTCTGAAGACCTGGTGACTAACACGGTTTACAATCTTTGCTTTTTTTAGGCATTTCTCAGAGTTCATCTCTGAAAGGAGACCTCCATGATGAGAAAATGATGATATGTGCTTTCCTTGCAAGAGTCATGCATGGAAAGCAATTGGGTAAGTTGTCTCAGTCAGAAGCTGAATTGGGGCCTCCCCCTTGTACACCTTTCTACATCTGCATAGTAATCTCTGTGCAACAATACTGTTTGGAACCTGCTGTATATCTTTTGATTTATAAAGCCATTTGTTATTCAAGCCTTGTCTTTCACACGGAGACATGTATGTAATACAAACAAACATCTTAAGCCACTCTGGAAATTTCTTAGAAATTTCTTTTTACTGATTGAAACTGATCCCAGCTGAGATGAAAGCTCATGTAAAATGGCACAGATAGTAGAGACACGGAGTCAATATTTTGATGAGCTTGTTTGTTATACCAACTGTAAAATCAGAAAAGTAACTTAAAGCTGAAATTCATGGTTTAAAAATGTACCTAGTGCTACTTTACTCCACATACACACTTGCAAAAACCTTAACGGCCTGTTTTTACCGTGCAATATCCTGTTTTTCCTCCAGATGTCCAGTTTGAAGAGGATGACCGTGTGATGCCTCTGATGTCTGCCGCCAAAATATGGTCAAAACTGGAGAAAACTGTGGCAGACGAAGGAGTGTTCAAAAACGTTACCATCCTTTTGCTTGTGCAGGTAATCGTGCAGATTATTTTGTATGTATGTACACAAGATCAGAGAATATCCAGACATGCCTTTAAATGCGTCCTGGTCGTAGAATGATTTAAAAAGTAATTCTGAGGAACACTACAGATTGCTAGGTATAATGAATAGATATCACTGCTTTAAGGTATAAACTAGATTAAAGTCCTGATGTCAAACAGGGAAGCTTTTTCCTCATCGGATGCATTTTCCCTATTCCCAGTCTGTGTCTGTGTGCTTGGAGAAAGGCCAAAAATCTTCGGCCGTCTCTGCTCTCAAGTGGTTTGAGAAAAACCGTGAGTTACCACAGGTCAGTATTATCTTTTCTTTCCAAAAGCACAGGATCAGTACTGGAATACTTTGCAGCCTAGAAGGTTTTTAATGCTTCAAAGCTGTTTTTCAACAGAACTTCGGCACTAAGCTGTCAACAATAGTGACACAAGGGGAAACGTACCACCCATTCTTTACAAGCTTCAGCTTCAGTCGACTGCTGGAGGCAACCCAGTCTTTCTTGGATGCCTACTTGGAGAAGAATCCCTCTGACTACATTCTCAAGGTACCGTAGGTCACAGCCTGTGACAAAGTAACACTGGGACACCCCTTCCAAGTTCAGCTTGGTACATAACATGTATAGCCCAGCATGACAATAGGCCCAGTCCACCTCTGTCTGAAGCTCAAAAGTTGTCTGTCCACACCACAGATACCCTTCCTGGAACATGTATTCATTTGATTGATGACCTTTTATAAATATTTAACTTTTTCAAAATATTCAACAAGATGCTTTTTATTTTAATCATACTTTAGGTTCACTGGATGTGCAGAAAGGCACAGCACAAGTCATACACTATTAATTGAAAAGTTGTTTTCTCGGGGTAGGATTTATTCCGTCTATTCATGATGAGCACAAACATTTAATACGTGTGGTTGATATATAAATAATAAATTTTCTTGATCCTGCGCGCAGACAAGTTCAGCTATGCTCTCGTCCTTCAGAGTAATGGCTCTTTGACCAACTGAATTGCTGATGTGACATTATCATTCATAGTTAATTGACAATTTGTCATCAAAATTAGTTGGAAGGGCAAACTGCTACAATCAGCAGCACGGCCCTCTGGGTGTAACGGACTCGCCTATTCATGAAAGTTTCAAGAGTGATTTACATAGAGGCCGCTGACCAAGGTTACACTTAGAAGGGAGCTATAATGACAGACCTCATTAGTTTTGCGTTCACTTTATAGCAATACTAAAACCTGAAAGCTAATTGTTTTGGGGGAGAATGAAAAGGTAATGTTTGGAAACATCATTAATGTCAGTTTGTGTGATCATGTCTGCATCTCCATCCATCAGGCGGCCACAGAGATGGTCAAGTCGTCGCACAACTTTGAAGGTTTGGAGGACGTGGTGACGCAGGACAGCCCTCTGTCCAAACCAGACGACACATCAGACGAAGAATCATCAGAGGATAGAAAGTAAGAAATAACCTTTAACGCCCCCTGTTGTATTGTTTGCATTTCTGGTTTCTGTTGAACAATATACTGAACGTTCATGTCCCAACAGGAAAAAGGAGAACACTGTACATTTGAGGTTAGTCAAAATGTCTTTTCAATTTAAAAAACTGACTCTGAATTTAGCAAGCTGTTCTAAACACTAGATATGGGGGCATAGGTGGACTAAAATAACTTTTTATCCCACTTCGACAGAACAAAACGGAAACTACTGTCAACTAAAATGACTGATGTATGGAAACCTGATATATGCACGACGCCTTTTGTGTCTCTCAGAAGAATCTCCCAGAATGGTAAGATTTTCTTTTCATTATTTTCTATAAAAAGGAGAAATGCATAATATTTCATTTATACTTCTAAACATGAACAAAAGCTAAAAAGAATAAACTTCTCACCATCAGAGTTATCTCAGATGATATCAGAGAAGTCAATGAATGCCTCGCCGATCAAAAAAACAAGAAAACCACCTCAGGTAAGTCGGCCCGCGCAGCTTATTCAGTGCTGTGTACAGTTAATTAATCCCAAATCAATACATGTTCACCTTTCTTTGGGTCCAATGTATGTTTTACTTTGTGTAGAAATGGACAGCCCAGCTTGACAAATACCTCAAGAATGGTGTTAAACGTCACGGCCAGGGGAAGTGGTCTCGCATATTAATGGATTATGACTTTGAAGGACGCACTGGCACCATGCTCAAAGACCGCTGGAGGGTCCTAATGAGGACTCATGAAGTCGGCTGAGGAGGGACAGCGCCTCTCGAGCAATTTGCCTGTAGATAAAAACATTATCAGCTGATCCGCTCATTTAACCTGTTTCAGCCCTGTGGACTAATTGCTGAAATAGTTCCTTTGTGTTATTGGTGTTTTTATTTGCTGCTGTTCTGTCTGCATTAAGAAAATATACCACTAGAGGGCACTTAACACAGAACAGTGAATTGGACTATATTTAATATATTTTTGCCAGAAAATCGTTAAATGAATAGAACTCTGGGTAGTTACAATAAAAATAAGCAAAATCAGTTTTAAAAAAAGGTAAAATGCTGTACAAGTGTGCTGCAAAGTTATACAGAACAATGGAAATGTGCATGGCGACTACAGTGATTTGCTTTTATCAATGTGTAGCATATTTATCAGAAATATAACTGCATTGCACCACTGTTGAGTCTTAAGTCTCTTCTTAGTTTTGAAAGCCTGCTGTATTGAGGCATCAGATCTGAAAAGTATTTCGGTTTCTCTGACAAGGGGAGCTTTGCTTGGCTGCAGAATGTTATTGTGGACACCAGATCAGAGATTGTTCCTTGGTGCTTTTGTTTGGATCAGATGAAGACGAAGCTGTGTTGTGGTGGACAGTCGCACTGCTGGGTTTTCTGGATCTTCTTCCATGTCCCGCTGCACTGTTGGTTCCCCACCGCCTGCCAGTGGAGCACAGCTTCTCTGCAACACAGTCACAGTCGCAGCGTGTATGGTTTTCACACCACCATCTGCATAGTTTTACACATTCACATCTGTGCAGTACATGTGGAAGTTTAACTGATGTACTGCCTTGCTCAAGGGCACGTTAAGGTTTCATGGCTTGCTAAATATGGTTATTTTGACTTGTTTCAAAATGTTCAATAAATTTGGGATTGATATAATGTAAAACTAGAAAAAATGTATTTTTTAAGATACTGTTTCAGGTCCAGGTTTTTATGATCCTGAACCTGGCATGTGCAACTTTACACAACATTGCACAGAGAACACACACAAAGGTCCATAACTTCATACTTGTCTGATTCCTGGCCGTCTCCTTGGCAGCTACCACTATTGTTTCGCATGGCAGGAGGTTCACATGCCACACACACTTTAAAGCCTTCTGTTATGTAGCGCATCCAGTGTGTGTGTGGCCGGTTTGCCACTGTACAGTGGGGTGTCCGGGACTCCAGTATGAATTCCACACAGAACCTGAAGGGGGAGTAGGGGCAGGGTCATGAGGTTTGGCCTTGGATATTAGGACCAATGCATCAAGAACTTAATGTACACACAAGGACAGGACATTATCACCCAGTTTGTGACTGGCATAAGGATCATTTGTTTTATCAATGTACAATGAACTCACCCCTTGTGAAATGGGAACAGTCGCCCAATGGGTACACCCTAAACTACACACAGTAACTCACCTACTGTCATCTAGACCTTTTGTGCATGTGATTTTCATGTGTAAAGTGCGAGTGTTTAATTTCAAAGGGTTGTGGGCACTCTCTCAGCATTGCTATATTTAATGGTTTGTAGACAGATGTCCAGGTGAGCAAACACCTGCTGGGAGCTCATGCAGATGGGGAGAATGTTATCTTTTTTTCAGAATGGTTTGGCTCTCACAGCATAATGCAAAAATGATGTTAACCCATGGCAGCATTCATGAACTTTTCAACTCTTAAACATAAAAAATACCTGTGGTCGTGTACAATTTCTGAGTACTTAGTGGGGCTTTATGGGAGCATGATGTGAAACCTACCCAAGGTCTAGGGGGTTTCCATAGTTGTCATGCTTGGGCCGTCTCTTGCCAAACTCCATGCTGGTGATGAATGCAGGACCTGATAAGAGAAACCAGTTCAGTATTTCTGTTAGTAAGTTTAGGTTTAACCCATTTAAGGTACTAAAGTCTTCACTTTACCAACAGGATAAACCAGAGGGAATGCATTTTAAAATCAAACAAAAATTTGCAATGGATCAAACCAAGGAATGTTCATGTACGGTATTTGTATACCTGAGTTGAATCCACAGCGGCCACCCTGATGGTCTCTGTACTCCCTGCAGCCACCTCGCTCCTCCAGGCTGGGACAGGGCTCTCCGCTGTTACTGGGCTGCTGCTTTACGTGACGGACACGGACTCTCACTGAGGGCTGGCAGGGCTTGGTACAGCCGCTCCAAAAGCTCCAGTCGCTCACAGCACAGTCCTGAGCTGGATGTTGGCACCCATGTTATGGGAGAAAGCTTATTACAGGATATCCTCTGGGGTAGCAAACAATTGAGGTGGAACTCAGGAGATGCTGGACCTAACATTTAACACTGGCTTCTCAAGTTCACGGCACGCAGAGGTGACACTTGTGAGTAACAGTAAAACCTTCCAGTGTTCTTGCAGACTTCACTGAATGAATACATTTTTCCTGTGAAACAGTGTTATGGAGCTACAATATCCAGGAAATAACTTTAGATCAATGACTCATTGATTGGGGCTTGTAGAATGAGTGTTTCCTGTTTAAATACAAGTAGCTTGAGAGCACGGCAAGTGTGCAACCTGTTCAATCACCAAGTCCTGTGATTTTTCTTTTCAGTTGCTCTCTGTGCTTGAAGATCAAGCTTTGATGTATTAAGCATGCAGATTTACAGACTGCCGGCCTAGAACACATATTAGGTACGCTTGGCTTGTTTGACTGGAACTGTAATTGCTACAACTGATTGACAGAATCACATTCTTCAAATATTTGTACTAATTCCATTATGTGGGCCAGTCCACTGAAATGAGGTTAGATGCAGAGTTGCCTGGGTTATTTGCTGGACTGATTGTTGCCTTTTTGTGATGGGAAAGCTAGGGCACATGCTACAGAAGAAAAAATAAATGCTGTAGGTGAAGAATACCGTATAAACCATGCGTGTGAGTTTGACAGGACTTTGCAACGAGGAAGATAAATGTGCACAGTTTCACATGCCTTGGATGAATTTGGAATATATCCACCCCTGCCACCTCTGTGCCATCCAATGTATGTGATAAACAGCCCAGTAACAAACCAGATTCTGAAAATAATCTGTGTTCTCCAACTATCTTTATCTTCTGCCCGAAAGATGGATTCAGAAGATCTATCTTGAGCAAGAGTTCAGGTTATCTCACACTGGTGTCGTATAGTTAAGGTGTGTGTGCCAAAAGAATAAACATTACCTCCTCTTGTGATTCATTCACCCCTCACCTGGGCACTCTGTGAAGTAGTCGAAGCAGCAGTCCTTGGTCCTGACGCAGCCTTCATCGCAGTAGCATGTCCCATACACGCGGTCCATCCTCCAGTCAGTGGTCAAACAGCTCAAGTCTCTGCCCCGGCAGCATTTCCCTGAACAACCCCCAGACACCAAGTGGTTCTTTCCAAGAGTCGAAACCACCAGAAGCAAACAGGCAAACTCCACAGAGAATCCCATCATGAGGGGGGTCAGACCACTGAAGTAAAACACTAGCCGCTTAGTTGTCCCAATATCTTATTTACCACCCTTATTTTTAAGTCATGTGTTCCCTCCCTGGGTCCTACTCTACAGCTGTCATACTCATGACCGTGCGAGGAAGAGGTTTGAATACCAGCCCGGCCAAGTCTGTGCTCTGCCACAGGAGCCCTTGTGACCTGGAATTCCTGTGTCCGTCTCTTGTGTCCAGCCCCGTCTGTTTCCCTCCAGAAACAGGTCTGCAGAGCAACCTACAGTACAGAACACCTCATTCCAGGCCTGATCAGGCTCCCATGTGTCTCATCCTGTGTTTCTCCACCTCCAAGCTGGTGTCTCTATCCCAGTTCCCAGCCGAGCCACCTCCCTTCAGTCGATCATACAAGGGAGGAGACAATGAGGGCAAGGGAGGGCTGAGCTGGTGAGGTTGGTGTTTGCTTTGCCTCCTGTTTCTGTTCTCTCTTTCTCTCTCTCTCTCTCTCTCTCTCTCTCTCTCTCTCTCTCTCTCTCTCTCTCTCTCTCTCTCTCTCTCTCTCTCTCTCTGCATCTTTCTCACCTGTCTTATTGTTGTTTTCCCTTTTTCTTTCTTATCAGTCCCTGTGTGATTACTGTGACCCTGATGCCAGTCTTGCCCAGCCACCCCAGACCTCTTAACTCCCAAAAGAAAGGGAGGAATGTGAGCAATTGGCAGGTCTCCAGACAATTGTGCCAGGGGGCCCGCTGAGCGTTGTAAAGCCACTGTTTGGCTCTCACCTCTCTCCTTTTGTCTCATTCTTTCAGGTTACTGTAATCTACCAAATATCCCTACACTTCAGACAAGATTTTGACTTTGTACCTTTATTTGATTAGTGAGTTGCATTATGTATTTTATGTAGTTGTTGACATTTTCAGAAGAGGCTTATTTGCTTTCTTGCTGCAGGTTAGATGAAAAGCTCAGTAGCTCTCATATGTACACTAAGTTTGATGCTAAGACAGGCGCCAGTTACGTTAGCTTAGCATAAAGAGAGGGAAACAGCTAGCCTGATTCTGTCAAAATTTTCTCCCTACCTGCTCCTCGAAAGTTCACAAATCACTATTTTATACATCGTTTGTTTAATCCCAAAAAAGTGTAAAAACAACATGTTGTTGCTTGGCAATCTCACACAAGACTCCAGGAATGACTTGCACCTGGCCAAAAAATCATCTTGCACATAACCCCCCGTAAAACTACAACCTGATGTTTTTACAGCTTTAGAGATGCTGGTAGGCAAATTTTGGGGGAAACCAGAAAACCAGAAAGACAGAGCTAGCTCTTTCCCCCAGTTTCTAGTCTTTTTGCTAATTTAAGCTAACCAGTTCCAAGCTATAGTGTCACACTTGGCGTACAAGTATGAGAGTTGTATCGATCTATCATTTAACTCTTGGCAAGAAACCAATTTATCTTATTTACGGTCTAACTATTTCTTTAAGGATCCATGGTGAACCTATATTGACTGAGACAACATGCATAGGAGCAGGTTAATTCTTTCCGCTGCAGGGCTCTGAATCAGTAAGCTACATGACGTTATTTGCAGACTAGGGTGTGAACTTTATAGCTCTTGACATACAGCGCAGGTGAACGCTAGATGACAAATTCATTTCATATAGGTACTTGTGAAGGGATATTTTTAATGGCTTTATCACACAGGTTTCCACGGGTCACTTTAGGATCATTTGCTGAGCTAAAGTAAGCTGAAGATGACTCTCCAAAAATATTCAAATTTCAATTTCAAACTATGTCTTTCCTCTCTGTCTGTTTGGTTGACTGACTGACACAGCTGCCTTGATAAGGATGAACTCTGTGGTCCATCTCCTAGGTAGCCCAAGGTCAAGATTATCTTTATTTTGTTTCATACAGACAGACTGACTTACATTCTTTAGAAAGTGTTGCATGTGGCTTGGATGACACATAGCGTGACTTAGATTAACTTAGTTAAGCATAGTGTCTTGTTTTGAACCAATATCCAACAGGATGTACAGATAAGTGAAGAATAACCTTATATATATATATATATATATATATACATAGTGAATCTCTGTAGGTCTTGGGAGGATAAATACTCCCCGCCAGGATGTATGCTTCTGATTTGGTTTAGCATTACAATGTGCTCTTACTCTGTAGCCTACTGCTGATTCCTTTTTTCTCGCCGGCCAGGCTTCCATAAATCTCGTTGCTTAAGACATCCTGAGTTGATGATTGATTAACAGGACGATTAGATTTGCTGAGTAAAATTTAGACACGCTTGAAGGAGAATGTATTCTTATAATGTCTAATGTGAGGATTTCTTAAAAGCTGACATGCTACTTTGCCCTTTTTTACTCTATATTCATGTGGTGCAAAAAGTAAATTCTCATATCACTGCAGCTGCCCAATGTCAAAGGAAGCTTTGCAATAACTGATGAATCCACATGCATATGATTTTTAAATGACCGACAGCATTTTT